TTACTTCAGTTATTATCATTATTGTTATTATATATATTATTATTAGAAATATTGCTATCATTATTATTATTGTTATTATTATCATTACTACTACAGCGATTTTATTGTTTTTATTGTCATTATTATCATTATTATTATTATTATTATTATTATTATTATTATTATTATTATTATTACTGTTGTTGTAATTATTATCATTGCTAATTTTTTAATAATTGCTATCATTATTGTTATTATTATTATTATTACTATTAATATTATCATTATTATCATCACTATCATCATCACTGTTATCATTATTATTATCATTATTGTTATTAGTCATAGAATTATTATGTTATCATCATCATCTTATGTTTACTATTATTATTATTATTTACCTTATTACCATTATCATCACTACTATTATTATTATAATCATCATCAACATTATTATCATTAATACTGTTGTTGTTGCCCTTATTATCAACATCATTATCATTATTCTTCTTGTTAATATTGTCATTATTATTATCATTATCATTATTTTCTCATCGTAACCAATAATATCATTATTATCAATGTTGTTGTTATTGTGACTATTTTTATCATTATCATTATTATTGTTATTATTACTAACGACTATTATTGTTATCATTATAATTTTATGATCTTGATATATTATTATTATTATTATTATTATTATTAATAGTTGTATTGTTGTTATTGTTATAATAATTATTATAATTTTTATTATTATCATCATCATTTCGTTATTATTTTCATCATATTTATCACTATAGTTGTTATTACTATTACTACTAAGTACTGTTATTAATATCATTATTATTTTTATTGTTGTTATCATTATCATTCTTGTTCTTCTTATTATCATTATTCTTATTATATTTTTCTTATTATTATTTTTATCATTATGATGATGATGGTTATTATTGTTATTATTATTATAATTATAATCATTATTACAATTACTAATATTATCGGCATCGTCATTATATACCATTATTGTAATCATCATTAACATGTTGATGTTGTTAGCTTAATTTAATGTTGTTGTTAATAGTATTGTTCTTGTTTTATTGTAAAAAATCACTGATAGTATTACTATCATTATTATTATTATTGCTATTATTGTTATAATTAGCACCATCATTATCATCACATGGACGAATTATTATCATTATAATTTCCATTGTGATTATGATTATAACTCTAGTAATGAACTAGTAATATTATCACATTATTCTATTCAGTAATATATCATAGTGTCTATTTACATATAGCAAGCACGTTTTGAGCGTTTTGTTCTGAATAACTTAACGTCATTCATACTTTATATTATACAATCAGTGCAACGCTCATCGTTTTCACTTGTCACTGTCATTAATATCATAATAATTTCTTATAATTCAGAGAATCACAATGATGTTACCGAATATCTTCTAAATAATGTTTATTTTCGTATCGCATTTCATCCAATCCTTTAGAATATGAATACCTGTAGATATGCAAGAGCTATCTATGAGAGCTCGCAAATATCAGCTTTATAAGTAGCAGGAGGCATTTACATTGCCATTTAAAAGTATTTATCAGAATGAAAGCAACAGTTACTGAATTCTTGCATATATTTATACTGCCATTTAAAGGTATTTATCAGAATGAAAGCAACAGTTACTGAACTCTTGCATCGCTTTGTTTGGAATATCTCTAACTGGCAACTCAGCTGATGCCAGTTCTGCGTGGATGTTGGAAATGTAGCACAATGTTCAAGTGTTAATTTAAGATGATGAGCACGGTATGGTATTTTTATTAGCGCGGAGATAGAAGATTATATGTTAAGGAAATGTTAAGTAACGATCACTGTGTCATTAAATCGAAAGGAGTAAAACCAATGGCAACTTACTTTCCTAAGCCATAATAGTTCTTCTAAAAAGTATTTCGAACAATTATTGATTCTTCATAGAATAAGATATAAGATATTATTAATACTCTTTAATATAATTTCTTATCTAAAGTCAGGAATTATATAATACAACTGAATACGTTCGAATTACGGGATGAAAATCGCGTAATATTGGAACTGTTGTTGTTGGCAGCGTTTCTTCAGGTCAGTCTTCGCTCAGCTACGGTCGGAGGATGTTCTGTTGCCGGAGGACCTTGCTGATTTTTTAAAAAAAGTGTCTCTTCTTTCGTATTTATATCGAACTTTCAACATATATGTGCAAGGCTCCTTTCTTTTGCCAATTCCCGATGATTGATTACCCGCTGACGGATGCGTGATATCAGAAATACAGAGTAAATCGCAAAGAACCAAGACTAGTCTAATTACAAGCCTTTTTTTGGGTTTAATAAATAACAGGCTTTTTTTGGTTTAATAAATTACAACTGTAATTATTTCGTGATTTTGTGGTAGTGATTTGTGTTGTTTTTCGTCCAGTAATTACACGAAACTCGTAAAAGAGAGGAAATCTGTGTTACTTTCCCTGCACACTATGAAGAG